CCGCGAAAGGGAGGGCGGGTTGCTGCGGGGCGGCTGCCCAGCTCTCTGTCCGGCGGGCTGCGAGTTCATCGGGTAATTTTGGTGAAACAATAGCAGGTGCCCGTGCAAAAGGCACGTAGTGGGACTCAGTATCCCTCCAAGGGCGTGCTCTTTAAAAAAAGGAGAAAAAAAAAAAGTTTTGGAGATTTTCTACTGCTTCTTGTGCCAATTTATTTCTGCCCAGTCAGGGCCCCCGCGCCGCAGGGAGCTCGAGGCAGGCACAAGTATTGACTGGCAACGTGGCATTAACGATGCCACAGCTTCACCAACTAGTTAAAGCAGCCCTAATTAAAGATGACGTTTTAAAGAAGCCAGGTTGTTGTTAGTACACAATTACTGCATTTTTAGTGCATTGAACTATACTCAAAGCAAGATTTCCCAGAATGTCCTTCCAGTGCTCTGCTCACACATACCACATAATTCTCCTACCCTTTTGTTTCTAAAGAGTAACCTCTGTGTTTCCTAGCAAAGTAAACAGCCATAGTGGTTTTTTTTATAGTAAAGGTGTAGATATGTGGCTGTTTGCACTAATAGGTCTCCAGAACTGTTTTCAAAGATGATTTACAGTATTGCGTAACAAACATGTAAAAGCTGAGCTAACACTTAGGTCTTGTATATAATATGTTCAGTCTTAACTGGCATTAGCGCTACTTTTGTTTGTGTCTGTTACAGGTTTGGCTGGCTTGTAATTAGCATAATCATTTGCAAATGCAATGGAAGAGGGCAAGGCTGAAGATGTCCAGGGTATTCTGCGACTTAATGTGCGAGGATGTTTATACACAGCCAGGCACGAGTCTTTATGCCGCTTTAAGGATTCAATGCTAGCTTCTATGTTTAGTGGACGCTTTCCTCTAAAAGTGGATGAATCAGGTAAATGTGTTCAAGCTGTAAATACAACATTCTGCTCAGGGAGCTCTGTGGCAAATACATGTTTTTTTAGATATTTATGCATTTTATAGTATATCTCCTCCCAGTCTGCTGAGCATCAGTTAGCTTCTTTAATTCCAGGATGCAGAACAATTATATATGCATGACTTTAGACTTACTGGAATTCATCTGAATTCTACAAGACTACTCATGCTTCCAACATACATGTTTGTACAGTGCTTAGCCCTGCCTTGGCCCAGTCCAGACTGTGGCTTTGGAATGCAGTTCTTCAGTATGAATATGAAAATAGATAAAATTGATAAAAGTTGGCAGACTATTTGGCATTTAACTTGGATCCTGTTTATGACCCGCTGTATTCTGCAGAGGTATCTCACTTTCTCTGTTCATTAAATAAGGAGATTTGGGTCTAATCTTTATTTCAGAATACTCCAAATACCCAGTAAAGATTGCATTTTTCACCACCGTGGCCTGATATGAAAGCTTGAATGAAACTGTTCATGGGTCACTTGTTTGTGACTTGGAAATCCTGCCAAAGTATGTCCAGTTAAAGATATGATGGATAGAGAATAGTAATTCCTTGTTATGCACTTTTGACTGTTTAAAATACCTGAAATGTTCAGCATTTTTATGGGCAGGGCTTTGCTGCCACCTTTCAGTTGCAGTGAACAGCCTATTGTATACAGCTGTGTATAGTTTGGTCAGTTTCCATAGTGGTCCTTGAGCTCAGCAGGCAATGGAGAAAAAAAGAAACAAAAAATACTGTAAAACTGGAGCAATATTCAGGGAAGGTTAGACTAGATGTGGACTGGAGCTGATGCTACTTTTAACTCTTTTAAATTGCCTAGATCTGAAATGGAGAAAATCTCTGCAATAGTGAGAAAAGATGTACCTCCAGTTAGAAACAGGAATGCGTCTAGAATTAGATTTTAGAATTTTAAGTGGAGTGCAGTACAGCTGAGGTTGTATATTGATTAGTGATTTCACTGAAATTCCAAATTTCCTGCGCTAGGAATTTTATCTTCAAATAACAAATATTCCAGGGAAACAAAATAGTAGTTTTAAAAGAATAGAGAAAGTATACTTACTCCTTCTAAGTAAGTAAAACTAGTACAGAAGTTCTATATAAAGGCTTTACTTGATGATTTGGTAGAATGTGACAAGTCTGTCTTTGCTTGCTGGAAGCAGTATTTTAAATAATTTTATTTATGTTTTCAGGAGCATGTCTAATTGATCGAGATGGAAGCCTGTTTAAATATCTCCTGGATTATCTGCATGGAGAAGTTCGGATTCCTGAAGATGAACAAATTCGAATTGCACTGCAGGAGGAAGCAGATTATTTTGGCATCCCTTATCCATACAGTCTGTCTGACCATTTGGCCAATGAAATGGAGATGCATTCTTTAAGGTCAAATGTAGAGCTTAAAAAGGTCTTGACATTTCTTACTTTTTTAAAGATGTACTCTCTAATCCACACCATTCATTAGCATCAGATACTACAACTACAGAATATGCAAGTTAGCACTTCCTAATCAGCACGTTAATCACGTAAATTCAAAGTTTTAGGTTAAGAAATCCTAGAGTTGATAATGCAGTGATAGTAGTTAAGGAGATCAGCTTTTCCCATCATTGCAATAGAACAGCAGTTTAAATTTGACTCTGGTTTACATGCAAATCTGCTGTAAAACTTGCATAACAGGGATGACATAGTTTAGTTCTCTATTTGGCTCCAAATTGTACTTGAGATCAGATTTTTATCCCTTCAATATGTTTGGGGTTTTTTTTTCAGTTTCACAAGTTCATCCTAAAACTTGAAAGATAAAATGTACTTTACCATTTCTTTAGAACAAGAAAGGAGAAAAGAAAATTAATATATTATTTAAAATCCTAAGGTTTGTCTGTTTCAGCGTATTGTAACTTAAAAGCTCATTCTAATTAACTGATCGGAAATTAACTCATATTGCCAGGTGTGGTTGTGTTAGTCCTCACAGTCATCGATGTTCTCTTATTTCACAGTCTCCCTTATTCGTTTCCTTTTGAAAAGCATAAAACATTTCCAGGCCTTTCCATTTCTCTTCATATTAGGGATTTGCTGTGCCTTTAAGTATTTCTGTTGCCTTTCTGTGAATTTTTCCTAGTTTTACAATATTGTCTGTTAATACCAGATGAGAAATACTGCACACATTATTCTAGATAAACTACATCCTTGATTTACATAAAGGAGCTCACCAGTACAGTTAAGAAAACTTAAATATGAAAGCTTATTCAACTAGAAATATTGTATTCTTAGCAGTATTTTGTATTTTGCTTTCTCTGTTTTTTCCAGGCTTTGCTAGATTTCTGTGATTCTTATGATTTAGTTTGTACCAAGCCTACAGTCTGGGTCCTGCACTATCTCAACACTTCTGGAGCAAGCTGTGAAAGTAAAATTATTGGTGTGTATGCCACAAGAGCTGATGGGACTGATGCCATTAATAAGGAGCTAGGAACGAAAATTCATAGTAAAAGCATTTACAAAAGGTAAGACAACTGTCAAACACATGAAAGCACTATGAAGTGAGAATGAACACTCACATATTATAATAATACCTAAATATTATTATATGTAGCATAATATAGCATTAATGTACTATACATCTGTGGAAGGAATCAGATTCTTTCCAGCTTTGAAAACAGCTGGCTAATACAATGGTCACATTAAACAAATAAGTAAGATAAAAAGTAAGCATGGAGTACAAGAGCTTGGGAGAGTCCACAAAAGGTGGCTAGCATGCAGTTGCTATAAGTTCTCATGATGTTTTACTTGCTATTTTTAAAATGTCTCAACCATTTAAAATTACTTTCTAATTTAGGACGATATTTACACTAAATACAGTGAATGAATCCTCATCTAGAAGAAGTTCCAGAAATATTCACAAAGTTGGTTGTGATTCATGTAGTTGTATTTTGCAGTCTTCTAAGACAGCTGAAAGAAATATTTAACACCAAAAAGAACTGAAGATGAAAGGAAATGGTTTTCATTCTTTAAAGGGCATATGCATCTCTACTACACTATTAAGATACGTTTATGACAGTAATTATAAGTTATTGGTAGACTTGTACTTCTGAGTGCCTGGAAGAAATTTGTCTTTCTTTTGGTCCCACAGCACAGTGTCAGAAATGTACTTCACTGTGTACCTTTTGAAACTTGACTAAGATAGAGCTTTTGATGTTTCATCATCTTTGTAAGGTATTAAGATGCTTATTTTCCTAAACTGAGGCCAGGAACATTAATATTTATTCCAAGAGTATTTGGACACATAGTACCGGGTGTCTGTCCTCCTACTGTGTTTTCCCTTTGAATAAATTACTGATATTTAGAAGAGTAGATTTTATACCATTAATTGTGTAATTACTCTTTTATGAATATTGATTATTCCATGAATACTCATTTTTAGCAATAGGTGTTCACAGGCATGCAGATCATAGGAGGATGGGCATTTGAAACCTCTTGTACAAATGAAAATGAAATTTAACATTTTTTTTTCTACTTTACAAAACATTTACTGTTAAGTCCTTATAGTTAGGATTTGATATGACACATTTCATCAGTGGTATATTTTTAAGGACTTAGCTAGATCTACCACATAACTGTTAACTTTAAAACAATATTTCTAGAGAAGCTGGAAATAACGTCCAATACATCTGGAGCTATTACTCAGTAACTGAGTTGAAAAAGATGATGGATGCTTTTGATGCCTGGGAAGGGAGAGGTAAAGTATGAATTTTTTTTTCTTTTATTTCAGTAGTACTACTTTTTTACAGAAAAATAAGAAAAATATTTGCCTATTAACTATGATAAAAACTCTGCATACATTTTCGCTCATTCAGTAAGTAATGTGTTGTAAAATATCCCATAGTAGTGGCTATTTGGAAAAAAAAGAGTCTTAAGGGATGTTTAACAAGGTGACATGAGCTGACATGAATGACGAGATGTAGCGAGAGCCACCACATGCAAGGGGTGATAGCCTGCTAGCATTGGGCACTGGTGGAAGCCCTAGAAGCACTCTGGCTGTAAGCAACGCTCGTGTCGGCGTAGTTTCAAAGCTGAAATTCCTTCAAAGCTGGCATTCATTTAGTCAGGTGTATATGCACATAGTATTGACTATGTTCTCTCAGCTCATCAGTACAACATCCCTTTGAAATGCAGGTGTCAGCTACTGGAGAGTGCCTCAGGAGCTGATTGAATGCTGGACTCTTGAAGAACGCCCTTTGAAAGGCAGTTTGCATCATATGCCTCCAGTTCATAAAAGGTATGCTGATTTGCATAGGTGGCTTAAAATAAAGCAGAAATACAGCACAGTCTTTTTTTTTTTTTTTTTTTTTTTTTAATGATTTCAGGTTCTTTGAATAGCTATGGATGTTGAGTTTTCTCTGGTTTTTTTCTATTTACATTTTTGTAAGATGTCTTATAATCAGAGAGCTTAATTGCGGAACTGAACTTGTTAGAAACAAATTACGTTTTTTAGGCTGTTGAAACTCTTCTCTATTCTACTTCTTCAGCCTTTAAAACATCATGTTAGTGTGGGAAGGAGTAATTTCAAAAAGTAGAGAGTAGTATGAGTTAAATGGACTGCTAAAAAGAAATTTAACTGGAAACTTTAAACAGTTAACTGATTCTCACATATGTGAGATGCCTTCTTTTTAGAAGGAATTTCTAGAACGTCTTCTTTGCAGTTTTATGGTGATACTTTTGACTACACCTCCATTCTCAATACATGACCTAAAAGCAGCCTTTGCAGGTGCAGCTACACACTCGATCTGAGCCATGCTACAGCCACTTTGCTGCTAGATAGGAGAAAAGGATCCTGCTGACCTTCCTTGTTCCTGGTCACACTGTCATTTCAGCAGCAGCCACAGAGCCATATCAGCACAATGATCCAACTGAAAACTCCTATCTCCCCATCCTCCCTCTTTTTTCTTTTTGGATACTGCATTCTTTGCTTTCCATAGCTCAAATGGGAAGGACTGTGATCGTTTGATCCCTGGATTGCCAAACAGCCTACATATATTCCTGAATGCTACTACCGCTGCCTGTTTTATCTCCCATCTCTCTGCTTTGATTTGTCTTCTCTATTATTCTGCACCCTCAAAACAGCTACGTTCAGGTTTTAGCTAAAACTCCTGGTGTACCACAGTGCTCCCGGTGAGACTGTATACTGGCTTGAAGTATTGTAAATGAACCTTGTTACCGATATTTTACCTGTACTTCATTGCTACTATTAAAGCACCAAATCTTTGAATGTTTAAGCTTTCCTTTTTGTTCTGGTGGTTCTTTTGACCTATGATGTACAGACATTGAGGATACATTCTCACCTTATGGCTCTGAGGAAAACCTCCCTGGACTCATTATAAGTACCAAGTTATTTGCAGGCTTTCTGTTTGAACATTGTCACCATTATACCAGTTTTTTAAGAGCAATAATAAGAAATATTACTTTCAGATATTGTTTATTCTTTTGGTATGAATCCCTGTGGCATTTCACAGCTCTTCTAAAATCCAAAATGCAAGTACCCTGAAGAATATCAGTGCTTTTGTAGTGTATCTGTCTTTTAAGTTGTTCTTCAGGGGCGCTCTCAGTTCATGGCCTGTTTACAGTGCTGACCCACCAGCTAAATGTTTCTTTATTCCTGACAAACAGGTCAGTTAAAGCTACAGCTTTTCTTTGTCAGCTCAAAATCTAGATATAATCCAGTTCTTCTTTCTCTTACTACTAGATTTAAGTAGCTTTACCCCATGTAGGAACCAGCAATGGAGCCACAGTTTGATACCTTGTCCTGGTTTCGGCTGGGATAGAGTTAATTTTCTTCCTAGTAGCTGGCATAGTGCTGTGTTTTGGATTTAGTACAAAAAGAATGTTGATAACACCCTGATGTTTTAGTTGTTGCTAAGCAGTGCTTACACTGGTCAAGGACTTTTCAGCTTCCCCTGCTCTGCCAGGTGCACAAGAAGCTGGGAGGGGGCACAGCCAGGAGAGCTGACCCCAACTGGCCAAAGGGGTATTCCATACCATATGATGTCATGCTCAGTATATAAACTGGGGGGAGTTGGCTGGGGGACAGTGATCGCTGCTTGGGAACTGGCTGGGCATCTGTTGGCGAGTGGTGAGCAATTGCATTGTGTATCACTTGCTTTGTATATTCTTTGATCAGTAGTACTATTTTCTCTTCTTGTGCTGTCCTGTTAAACTGTCTTTATTTCAACCCACGGGTTTTACTTTCTGATTCTTTCCCCCATCCCGCCAAGGGGGAGGGTGAGTGAGTGGCTTAGTTGCCAACTGGAGTTAAACCACCACACAGCTTTTGTTTCAATTAATTTTTAAATGCATTGTTAATATTCTCTGAGTTAATCATCCCTCTGACATGGCCTGATCTAGCTTTTGTTTTGTTGGGTTTCAGGTTTTCTAATGTTCCATTCAGCTGTTTTAGTGTGACCTCACTTTCTATGGCATCATTTATTATTTCCTTGAGGAATTAAAATCTTCTAGGTGTCTGTCCATTTTTCTTTGCCAACACTGAGAAACAGCATTTTTACTATACTTTAAAAATGCTGTCTATCCCTACCAATTAGAGTTGCCATGAGACTCCATAGGCTTTCTTACACAGGTTCTTTTTTTTAGACATTTTTTCTTGAAAGATTATCCGTAATCATTTGTATTGAGAAGAAATGGGTGAGTGAGAAAGAAGCAATATTTTTCTTCTTTTTTCAAATTACCTAGTGTGGAACTCTACATTTTGTGCTTATGTGCAGTTGGGTCTTACATTTTTGTACATAACTTAAACCACATCAGACTAGCATTTAGTGGATTTAGTACCTGATGGAATCTATAGCATTTTAATATTTTCATTCTGTATCTCCTCCAGCCTTCTCTTTTGTTGATTTTCACTTAGCAGTTTGTGCACTGCATCTCTTACAATTTTTTATGTGTAATATTACTTACACAGCTGGAAGAGGTTGATGGTACTATTCATATAAAGGCAAGCCTGATTGCAGTGATGAACAGTTGAGAACTGTAAATGATATTGTAACAAGCAAAAATTAAAAGAACTTCAGATTTGTGGATGGCTGTCACATTGTCTAGTTTGGAATGATGTTATAAAAAGAGTAATTTATGTACATAGTTTGTTTCTTTAATTGAAATTCTTTGTTTTACAGGCGATTAATTGACTTTACTGGAGAGGAAGACTATTTACTGTGTAAAGCGGGTCCCAAGCCAATTAGATTCTCGGGTCCCTCAACAAGTACCCATATCAAAGTCAAGAATTCAGCTTCATTAAAGGTAGCTGCTTGCAATGCTTCACGTTCTGCAGTGACTCTTAAGCGACCCAATAATGAAAGTTTGACACTACACAAAGTGGCTTCTGAAACTGTATCTGCACCGCGCCCATCGGTGCCCAGCAGTTCCCAGGCGCCCTGCGGAGGGCAGAGTGCTGACAGTGGGACACCATGCCAAATGACGTTCCAGATCACAGCGCCTAGGAAGCCCGTAAGCAACCGAGTAGTAAAGCTGAAGCGAACTCCACTTTTTCTTGTGGCACCATCTCAGCCATCTTCTTCTGTATCCAGTAAAACAAGTGCTGCTGTTGAAATTCCTACTACTTCTATGGTACTAAACAAGAAAGAACCAGCCGCATTAGAGAGTATTAAGCTTAAGAATGATGAAGTGGATGGATAATGTTTGTCTCTGCCTGATACACTGGATGGCTTTGCATCATCTGGTCAAAGAAGAGATCGTCATCTCACATGGTCATTTACTCAAAAGATGAGGTAGAAAATTATGATTTAAAAGTTTGTGAAAAGCATAGGGAGAAATTGTTTTAAATGACCACTGAAGTGTGTTTTCTGCTTTATTTCCAAATATTTTTTAGACGTTGGGATGGGAGGAAGAGAAATGGATTAAAAAAACCCCTCAAACACAGAGCATGTGCAGTCTAATGCTACAGTATCTCACACTGGTATTTCTGTCAGGCTGTACTAGGACAACTGACCTTTTTAAAAGGAGTGCTTGCATAGCATAGAAGACCTCTTTATCAACTTTAGCTATAGTTAACTAGAGTTAATTTCCTTAATTTGTATCTTTGAAGTAGGGAAAAATAGATAACAGTAAGTAACTTTTATTGGAGAAAAGTTTGCCACAAGTGTGTGACATACTGAGTACTGTGAGGATTCCAGAAGTTGAAGGCACTTACTGGTGCTTCTGGTGAGGAGAAGTCACCATTTTGTTATTAACAACAAGGAAAGGGACGGCCTTTGCTTGTACACAGTAAGAAAATTCAGAAATACAGGAAAGGAAGAAACACACCTAGGGAGTAACAAGGCAATTTTTTCCATAGACCTGAGACACTGAGACTTCCCTAACACGGTGTGATCTGCCGCTGGGGTGAGGCTGCTGCAGGCAGCCAGTGCAGCCATGGCATTTTGTATCGCCCCACTGTGGGGTGCATTTTCTGCAGCTGCAGGGAACCTCGCAGGTCTGACTTAGAGCTGACCTTCCTGTATCCTTCTGCAGGTCCTTTCAAATGAGGAGGGGACAACCTTAACTTTTGGGCAGCAAAGCAGTGCTAACAGAGGTGCCCTGGTTTGACAGAAGAGAAAAGAACCCCTCCTTGTCCTAGAGCAGGACAGAGGACACCTTCTTGTACCAGGGTAAATTTTGAGTGATGATACTGAAGAGCTGCTGTATGTTTCTGTCAGCAGAAGAAAGCTAAATTTGGCTGACTAATTTTAAAAAGCCCTTTTGGTTGTTGAAATCAGTGAACAAACCTGGCTGTTTTGTGCCCTTGCTTGCTTACAGTTGGGTGCTGGGCTTTTGTTGGTTTTGCTACTGCTTTTGCTTTTGCAGCACAGTAAATACAGCTGTCCCTACATGTTGAGAAGTCCTATCAGATTCCCAAACTGCAATGTTCTTAATATTTCTGAGACTATTAGAATTACAGAAGGGTTAGTGGTTTTGTTTTCTAGCTCATTTAGAAGCGGTCACATTTTCAGGCTTTTCTCCTGACCACAAGGACTTGAAACATCATTTGCACAAGTAAAAAACCCAAATTTTAATGTACTAACATTTTTTTACACTTTGTATTTTTCACTTTGCCATGAACAGTAGTCACTGTAAAGGTGTACAGTACTGTCATTTTCTGCTATTGGTGTGTCTATTGAAGACCAGTTTACCTTTAGAATCTTTAAGCTAGTGGTTTTTCTTAAACCTAACGAGCAACAATCCCAAAGCTCTTCCTATCCCAACAAAAAAAGTTTCACTGAAGAAAGGACAAGGCAAAAATTATGGAAATATACTAATATAATGTAATGTCCTATTCTTTGAGCATGAGATTCATCATTGAGACTAAGTTTGTGAAATTTATTTTTCATAATAATCTGACTGAAAAGCAGTTTTTAATATTCATCTGCTGTGTGACTTTTACTTCACTATTTATTGAACAGCTGAGCACTTTATCATGCACTTTAAATCTTTTCACAATGCTTCCTAAAGTAGCTTTCCTTCCTCTTCAACTTTTGATGAATTCAGAAGGCTTCTATAAACAGAATCATAGAATCATTTAGTTCGGAAAAGACCCTTAAGATCATCCAGTCCAACTGGCACTAAAGCTCACAAAAAGTATGGATTTTTGCATGTGTACAAGAAAAAAGCTTTAAGAATAATCCTACAGGACTTTCTGAGTTTGCACTAGCTCAGAGTTCATTTAATTATTCTGGTAGCACAGTATTTTTCGAATAACAGTCATGTCATTTGCATTACAGTGGCTGTAATGAGTCTTCTCTTTGTCCTAGACATACTGGCTTGTGGTTAAAAGAAAAAAAAACAAAAGAGAACTCCCTTGAATTTCAATAGATGAAACGGGAATGTGGCTGTGGTGGGGAGGTAGAGCAAGATTAATCATTTTTTGAGGGACTTGATTCTATTTATATATTTATAATTGGATGAGGTGCAAACATGACCTGTTAACTCTTACGAGTAGGCACTTCTGGCATGATTTTTCATACCTATGAATCTCACTAAGTTTCTCTTAACTGATGGACTGATATTAAACAGTTTTATGATCACTGAATAGCATTGACCTTCATGGTGACTTTCACTATAAAAATAGCTTTGCCTTTATCTACCCAGAGCCTTTTAAAATGTGAAAGTAAAATAGAATTCCATCTCCTCTCTGGGAGGCCAGTAGCCGAAAACAAATGAAATCTGTCAGTCTAAGGAAGAGTCATCCCTTAACCTGGCTAACAGATTTGTGTTTTTTGAGGCCTGGAGCAAGGAGCAGAAATTCTGCAAGTCGGAGTTTCCCACAGGTTGAAACGTCCTCAAAACTGTATGTTCCCAAGTTTCTTGAAAGTCTGCAGTTTTCTCAATATTTCACTTGCCTAACTCACCTAACAAAGTACCAGCTGCTGCTGCATTTGCACTGATAAGCTGTGATACACCGTACGTACGTACCCGATAGTTTGACTGGGGGAACTCCTAAAGGTGAGCGACGGTTGTATAGCTGGGGTTAGATGCATTGTCAAGTGGTGTGACAATGGTTTACTTTGAATCTTTGTAAAATTATCATTCGTTACATAAGAGATCATGTTCAGAAAAGACCATGTTCAGAAAGTTACTCCGATTTAGTAATCTAATGATCACTAGTATCTAATAGCTGCACTCTAAAGGCTGACATCTGTGTCACCAGTGCTGTTTGATGCATTAGATTTTTTCTTACAAATGCTGTCAGTTTTCCAGTTGTCTAGTTCTCACTTTCACACTACTGTCTTTCCAAACCATCGATGATACGGCATCATATGGGTTAAGGAGACAAGAAAAATACGATTCCAAGTTAAATTTCTAGAAAATTACTCCTCTGTGCTTACCCATGGGCTTGTGATGCAGAGGGCCTATTATCACCAAGATGTGATTCAAACAGATGTAATTCTATCTGTACACTTCAGAGTATGGAGAAGTCATTTGTACTTGATGTAAGCAAGCAGACATTATTTCATGTGATAGGCACGTGTTACCACTGATCCTCAGGGAGAGTTTTCATCAGGCTTGTTTTTCGTTGAAGAGCCATGGAAATACCAAAACTACCTCTTTTTTCCTTTCAAACTGTTTCAGTTATTTCCTTACCAGTTCTTCCACAGCAGAAAAGTGCTCTAAACTGGTTTACATTAAATTGCTTAGATAATAAATACTATGTAGTTCAAAAAATACTAACATTATCCAGGAGTAAGCAGATTTTATCTACTTAATTCTTCCCAATCCATGAAGGACAAATTTTCACCTGGTAAAAACAGGAGGTCAGTTGTGCCATCAAAAACTTGGGAGTGAAGCTGTTAGTCCCTTAGCTGTAGTTACAGAGTCAAAGTGTGGTTAGAAGTAAAACCCTGTGGTAATAAAGCACCACAAAAATCTAGATTCCTTTTGGGCAACAGCTTTTAATAAAAGATATTAAGCAGTAGAAACAGGTCGGGCTGATGTTACAGACCTTTGCTGCTTTCTGAGTTTTTTGAGGTATCTCTTCTAAAAGAATTTTCTTCTTGCCAAAAAAATCTGGTTGTTTATACCAGAATGGATCACTCTTGTCTGAAAACCACTGATCATGGGATCACGTGATCAGCTGTGTAACGTGCCCAGAGTTTGCATCAAGGATTTGGCCCTTTTCAAAGTTGCCCCTTTCCTACATCCATCTCTCTCTCTCTCTTCACTCATTCTAGTCTCTGGTACAACACACATGAACATTTTAGTACAGTTTGTTTTAGTAGTTTGCCATAATAAAATAGCTGTATTGTTTCAATTTCTGGCAAATTTCTGTTATATCCCCTCAGGTGGGTAATTGGCAGTGGTACTGGAACTTGACACCTCTGGATCCCTTGGTGCCTCTGCTGGAGTCACAAGTATATGAACAGGAAGGATGTAGCTGATTTATAAAATCCTGATGTAGCCCAGTCACTACATGGGGGAACAGACTCCCAGTAAGAACTGCCATTCGTACAAGCTCAGACCAGGTGTTACCCTACAACAGCAGGGCCCAGGACAGTGCTACAAGATCAACGTTTCCCTTCTAGAATTATTAGTTTCTCTTTCAGGGTGACATTTTCAAACACATTAAATGATTTTTTTTTAACTTTTTTTTCCAAACACACCTAAATAATACAAGTTTTCCAAATTGCTTGGCTGTGTTAAGTGACTTTCTCTCTTTAGTTTTCCAACTGTGTAATTGGTCCTTTATTTTGCCGAGTTCTGCCCTTACTCTGAATTTAATCTTACACAGAAGATAAACAGATCCAACCTGCTTTAAAATACTGCCCTTTAAG